GAAAAACCATAATTAAATTATATAGATAATAATATGAATAGAGATTTACCGCCAGATGAAAACACTAAAATAGTTAAGTATCTTCTTAAAGAAAATTTAGGAGAATACAAAGTAAATAATAAATGTAAAAAACTTAAAACCATAATTATAGGAAACAATCAGTATAGATATAATCCAGAAAAACCAATAAGCAATAGATTGAGTAAGAGACTTGAAGCAGTAAAGAAAACTAATGACTACAAAGCAAATCAAATCAGAGAAAGAGTAGGAGCAAGAACGGTTTTAAAACATGCTATTAAGAAAAAAGCAGTAATAACAGAAGAAAGAAGCGCCTTTAGAGCATATGCCAACGCCTACACAATTTCAAACATTCATTTAAAAGAGTTGAACGGATTGACTTATTTTAATTATCAATTTGACAAACTTAATGAATACTTGAAAGAGAATAGAGGAATGAAACTTAATGCTACAATAAATATGAAAGTTATGAACTTATTTGATGAGGAGAGAAACGTAACAGTTAGGACAAGGTCGTACACTATTGTAAATGAAGAGGATTTAAGGAATGCTTTGAAAAGAATGAGACCTGATGTTGAAACAAGAATTTTAGATATGGCTTTGTATCAGTCAGGATTAATAATTAGCAATATTAATAATATTCATATCATGTATAATAAATATAATCCGACTAGAGCTGGCAAATATATTGAACTTCCAGAATGGATTAAAAAGAAAAAGGCATGTATCAATATTAAAAATCAAGATGACAAGTGTTTTAAATATTCTATTGAGTGTGGATATTGTAAAATTTGTGATAAAGCACACCCTGAAAAGATGTTTCATTACAAGAAGATAGCAAGTGATTTGATTTTTGATGGTGTGAGTTTTCCTGCTAATAATAATGATATAGATATATTTGAAGAAAATAATAAATCAATATCCATTAATGTTTATGAAATTGATGATAATGAACAAATTGTTATTAGTAGAAAATTGAAAAATACAGATGCTTCTTTTCATTTTGATTTATTAAGAGTTGATGATGAGGATTGCAGTCATTATGTGTATATAAAAAGTTTGAGCAGACTTATTAATAATCAAAAAAGTAATCATAATGGTAAGTCCTATTTTTGTAAATATTGTAATCATGGATTTAGAAATGAAGAATTATTAAATAAACATTATGATAGTGGATGCATGGAAGTTGATGGACAACAAATAGTAATGCCTAAGCCTTATGAGAAAGTTAGTTTTAAGCATCACTTCAAAAAGTTAAGATGTCCTTTTGTTGTATATGCTGATTTTGAATGTTTGACAGAGGAACTGAAAAAACCTGATGAAGATGAAGATAAAAAACACTTTTTCTTATCAAGAGCATAAACCATGTGGTTTTATGCTTAATATGGTTAATGCTGTTGATAATACAAATTATGAATTTATGTATCGTGGTAAAGATGCTGTTGATGTGTTTTGTCAAAAACTTAATGAGATTAGGGCAGAAGTAAAGGAGAAGATGGGAGAAAACAAAAAATAGATATGACTGATGAAGACAAAGAAGATTTTAAAAATGCTAAAAACTGCTTTATTTGTGGAGACGCATTTCGCTTGAGCGATGCGTCAGCTTCGCGAAACAAGTTTAGAATGAACTATAAGAATGCCAAGGAAGCAGAGAAATATAGAAAAGTTAGAGATGGAGTGCGAAGCCCTCCAAGCTACTCTTCTGATAAATATCAGAAGGTCCGCGACCATTGTCATTTTACAGGTAAGTATAGAGGTTGTGCTCATAATGTTTGCAATCTTAATTTTTGTAATAGATATTTTAAAATTCCTGTATTCTTTCATAACATGAAAAATTATGACGGTCATTTAATTATTCAAAATGCGGATAAATTAAGTAACAACAATAAAATAGGTGTCATCGCTCAGAACAGTGAAACATTTATTAATATCAGTTTTGAAAGTTTGAGTGTTAAAGACACTTTTTGGTTTTTAACTGCTTCATTAGATAAGTTAGTTTCAATGAGTAAGTATGATAATACAGATGAAGAAGATAAAAGTAAATGGTTATTGCGTGAAAACTGGAAAGATAATTTTAGGTTCAGTAGTAAAAATGATGTGATTAAGAGTGAGAAATGTCTAGATTTATTAACTGATAAAGGCGTTTATCCTTATGACTACATGAATTCATTTGATAAATTTGATGATGAGCAATTACCGAGTAAGGATGATTTTTATAGTCAGTTGAGTGAAGAAGGTATAAGTGTTAACGACTATGAAAGGGCAAAAATTATATGGAAGCATTTCGACATTAAGAATATGGGTGAATACCATGATTTATATTTGAAAACTGATGTATTATTATTGACTGACATTTTCGAAAATTTTAGAGATGTATGTATGAAATATTATGGATTGGACCCTGCTTATTATTATACATTGCCTAACTTTGCTTTTGATGCTATGCTTAAAATGACTGGTGTAGAGATTGATTTAATATATGACCAAGAAATGTATGAAATGATAGAAGCGGGACTTAGAGGCGGGATGTGTATGGTTTCTACTAAAAAAGTTGAAGCAAATAATAAATACATGGGAGAAGAATATGATAAAAATAAAGAAAGTAGTTATATTAACTATTTTGATGCTAATAATTTGTACGGGTTAAGCATGATACAAAAACTGCCATATAAAAATCTAAAATGGGATGATACATTAAAAGAAGAAGACATTATTAATTACAAAAATAATAATATTGGATATATTCTAGAAGTGGATTTAGAATATCCTAAAGAATTACACGATTTACACAATGACTATCCAATGGCACCTGAGGTTATGAATGTTAAAGCCAACATGCTGTCAGATAAACAAATTGAAATTTATGAATTTTTAAATCATAAAAAACCTACGGATGAGAAAACAAATAAATTAGTATTGAATTTAAATGATAAAGAAAAATATGTAATCCATATAAGAACCTTACAATTTTATTTGAAGCAAGGGTTAAAACTTAAGAAAATTCATAGAGCAATTAAATTTGAACAAAAAGAAGTTTTAAAACCGTACATTGAGTTTAACACTGAGAAGAGGAAGAATGCTAGAAATGATTTTGAGAAAGATGTTTATAAATTGATGAACAATGCCATATTTGGAAAAACAATGGAGGATAAGCGAAAACATTTAGACTTTGAAGTTGTGAGTGATGAAACTAGATATATGAAGTGTGTAAGTAATCCTAACTTCAAACATAGTCATATAATTAATGAAAATTTGGTCGGAGTTGAAAAGCAAAAAACAAAGTTGAAACTAGACAAACCTATATTTATTGGGATGAGTATTTTAGATTTGAGTAAGCAACACATGTATAAATTTTATTATGACGTTATGAAACCTAAATATGGAGATAATATTAAAATGGTATATACTGATACTGATAGTTTTGTATTTCATACTAAAACCAATGACATTTATGAAGACCTGAATACAATTAAAAAAGAATTAGATTTTTCAGATTATCCTAAGGAACATAAATGTTATGATGATAATAACAAGAAAGTATTAGGTAAATTTAAGGATGAATTAAAAAGTAAAATAATAACAGGGTTTATAGCTCTTCGTCCTAAATGCTATGCTTACTCAGTTTATGGTGATGATAAAAAATATAAGAAATGTAAGGGCATAGCAAAAGGCACAGTAAGACGTCAAATGAAATATGAAGAGTTTGAGACGGTTTTAAAAACTAATGAGGTTATACATAAGTCATTTAATAGTATTAGAAGTAAAAACCACAGAATTTTTAGTATAACAACTAAAAAAATGCTCTTAGTAGTTATGAAAACAAAAAATATTGGATAGATAGTATAAACTCACTTGCTTACGGCCATTATAAAATAAATTCTTTGAACACGACTTAAAGAAATATTGACTTAATATATTAAGAGGAAAATGAACGGTGATAAAATCAATAATTATATCAATAAAAAATGCTATGATTGTTGTCACTTCAAAAAAGAAAATATGGAATTGCATAAATTGAATTTATCTAATGAAATAGTGAATAATATTATTAAATATTCAATGGATGAAGAAGACGAATGTAGAACTTGTCAGGAATGGAGAGATACTCAAGCTATAATGAATTGTGCGTTGAGAATAAAAAGAAGAAATAATAGAAATGTTGAAGATGACATCTTAATATTTCTTGCTGTTTACAATATCCCACCTTATGATTATGTTAGAGCATTTATGAAAATCAGTAAGAAAAAGTATGAAATGATTAATGACATATTGAGGATGTTAGTAAATCGCAGAAGCGAAGAAGAGGACATAAAGGAAGCTATCAAAACATATATTGAAAGTGAAAAGTTTAATGTTAAAAATACAGTGAGAGATATTAACATTATTTTAAATGATGTATGAAAGAAGTAAGATGTATCAATTAAATAGTTATCCTGAACTAAAATTATAATCATACTATGATTATCACATGTAACATATTATATGTTATAATTGTAATATATTTATCGTTTGTAAAGATTGAAATATTATATTTTCCTAATTTGCTTATCTCTTTCAAAGTGCGTTGTTTAGACTTGGTATGCTTCTTGAATTTTTTCGTGCTTTGGCTGTTTGTTTTTGTTTTGTTTGATACTCTTGTGATATTTTTTGTTGGTATGTTGCTTTGTTTTTTGTTGATGTGTGTTTTTGAGTTTGGGTTCTTTGATGATTTAGAGTGTTGCTGTTTTGTTGGCATGCTTGTTTGAATTATTTAATGTTGTATGCTGTGATTAAATATTTTTGTTGCTGGTTGTGATTATTTATTTTGTTTGCTTGTTGTTCTGGATTTTGTTTTCTGTTTGTTGTGTTGCTGTTGGAAAAATAGTAGAAAGAATAATTCTTTGAATTCTCCTTTTACTATTTTTTACCCAACCCTACCCCACCCCACCATCCACCATCCACCCCACCCCCCCCCACCCCTGTTGGTTTTTGCGGGGGGTGAGGCTTTGCCATCGTGCCCTTCATGAATCCAAACCAGCTGGCGGTGGTCTCCGCGCTGGTGGGCGCTGGCGGGAACATGGGGGCCGTGCTCGCGGGGTTTTGCTTCTACCGGCCCATCGAGGAGTCCGAACTAACAAGGGGCTTGGAGGGTTGCTGCTTGTTTGAATTATTTTGTTGTTTATAGGTTGCTTCTATTTACAGCTTGTTTTGATTTACAGGCTGGTTTTCATGTTTGGATGCTCGGACTGACCAACTGGCTCTTGGTTTTTAGAAGCGGTGTGTTGTTTGCTGACACTGATGGAAACATCTCCCCAGTTCAGTGGATTCCACCTTAATGAACCCGAGCCAACCCCGCAAAAAGATGGCTCCAATTATTTTCTTCCCGGGTCACCAGTTGCTTTGGGACTGGGTAGCGAACATGCTCAGGGAATCTCATTTGAGAAAACTGTTCGGGGTTGCGTTTGCCTTTGCGTGTTGGGGTCGCAAAATATGGAACCCCTTGAGCAGCAAAACCATGACCACTGGGCAAGTGTTTCCGATCCCCAGTTTCATGAATATGCATGTTTAGATCGACCTGGCAAAAAGTGACTTTACCAGCATAACGCATTTCAGTTGGTTAGGGTCGGAAGAGACAGGCACAGTTTGACATTTGCTTGCCATTTGCTTGCCATTTGTTTGCCCCTTGTGAGTAACACATTTGCACAACATGTTGGCGAGCTCGCTTGGGCTAAGATTGCAGAATCTGCGGAATGACTGGCACAGGCCGCAAGGGACTTGCGAGCCTGCTTGCTTGCAGACGGGTTGCTGTACTCAACCCCTTCTCGGCACGGCAACACCTTCAAGTCTTGACGGGAATTTCGCGAGGATCCACTGCTGCCCTTCCAAGTTCACGCGGCCTATGTGATGTTGTGGGCCTTGCTGACCCCGGTCTACTATTGGCGCGAGCATGGCAGCATGTTCCTTGCCCCTGCGGTGTCTGCGACGAATGTGTTGGAGTCCCCGCAGAAGTCGGGAGAAGTCTCCGAACCCGGAGACATTTCTATTTAAAGTGCAGTCAGACACGGCGTGCCCACTTCAGATCAATGAGAGCAGTTGATTGCAAAAGATGTTTCGTTTGAACCTTTGGTCCGTCCGCCGGTTGCTTGTCTTGTTTGTCACATTGCCTGTTGGCCTCTTTGTTTTCGACACAGTGGGTTTTGCTGGCGCCGGCTGGAAGTTATGCTGCCAGCCTTTGAATTTGCCTGCGCACCTCCAGACGCGGGGTGAGGCAGCGGGGCCGGAGCATGCGAGGGCTGTCCTTAGACTCGACTACCTTTTTCGGGTGGTTGCCCTCGAGCGGAGGTCGACTTCTTGAAAAGGAGTTGGCAAAGGACGCGCCGCAAGGCCCGGCCCGGATGCAATGCATGAATTTGCGAAGGCGGACCCTTCCCAGGTGGACAAGCGCCAACCAAGGTGCGGGTCCCGCAAAGAGCCCCCTCACTCGGGGGGCGAACATCTCACGATGGGAAACGCTGCTTGCCCTGTCGCCAAAAGGGAGCTGCGGGGTGTCCAGAACGGGGCTTCTCCTTTATCAAGAGCAGCACGATTGGTCAAAGAGCGGTTCCTCTTTCTAGGTTGCTTTTGAAGTGCGTTTTGGCTTCTTTGCAAATTGCGGGGACTGTTTGCGGTGCGCTGGGAAGTGGCTTGTCCACATGTCGCTTTTTCTTGCTGGGCGCGAGGGGAAATCACACATTTTCACCGACTTGCCAAAAGTCGACCTGTTGCAGTGTTTGGTTTGCTCAAGCAAGGCCTAAGTCGAGTCGAACATTCCCCAACGGAAATCAAGGGATCCACCCTCTCGCCCGGTTTCCCCATCATTAGACCTGAGTCGGGCCTTTTCGGTTTATTTTGGGAGGACTCGGCCTGGGTTTCAGTTTGGTGTCTACGTAACTGATTCCAGTTGCTTCGTCGCCGATTCGCGTACAGAGACGGAGGTGACATGCCCATGTTTGCACCTGAAGTGACATCATCATATACATTGTTTGAAGCTTTGGGCGGTTTTACCCATCTTGGTTTGCAACCAGGAGGTTTGCCGGGCGCTTGCGTTTGCAAGTTCGCTTGCGGGGACAAAATGGCATCCGCCAGAATCGACCGGCCAAAAGCTCACTAAACTCCATGGCCTGGTATCCCCCCCAAGGAAAAAAAACAAACAAAAATATCAAAAATACAAAAATCAATCGGCACCTTGCATTTCTGTGTTCCAGCTGGCACCCAGAAGCGCCTGCCCCTTTGCCCCCATTTTTCCTGCGCCAGGGGCAGCAGCTAAATGCGGTGACACTCAACGTGGCGATCCGTGCGGCTTGGAGCGATCCGGTCCGTTTTCGTAGCGTGCATTGAGAGACCTCTCGTGGCTCTAAGGAACGCAGGCACGCAAATTGCCCATTGCTAATAGCTGCACTATATTTTGAATGTGTATCGCACGCATGGAACAATTTGCAAAGGCTCTGAGCTTCTTGAACTCTCCGCATTCCGATTGAGCACTCAAAGCATGGGCGAACTGCCCAGCGTGGCAAGGCTTGATGGTTGATTCGAGCCCCTTTTTGGCCATAAATCTGCTCCCCCCACCCCGATGCACACCCCCAGTTTTGGCCCCTCAAAGTGGGGGGTTGCCGTTTTCCGTTCTCCCTGCCATAAATTGACCGAGGTACAAAAAGCTCCAGCCCCACACCCAGAGAGTTTGGCTCAGTGGCTCATTTCTGGCTGAGGCCGCCGCAGTTTGGCCGGGCGCCGCCCTGCTGCTGCGGCGCGCCCAGCAGGCGCGCCTGGCAGACGCGGTGAGCCGCTCGGATGGGTCGATCCATTGGGCCAGATGCGGCGATTCGGGCCATGGGAGAGATATGCCGCAGCTTCCAGGACTCCCCAAGCACCCAGAAGGCAGGAGTCGTTGGGGTCCCAACCCAAACCTTGAGCGGGGCGTCCTTGACCATCCCAGCAGCACGAATCAATGCAGGTTTCATGTTAGATGGCAGATGAGCTGCAAGCCCTGAGCGATGCAAAACCCTGAAGCCCTTGACCCAGGCTTGCCCGCAAGGGGTGACCACATTTTTCCGCGAGACTTGGTTGGGTGTTTCTCAACATGGCGACCCCGGTTTTTCGGTGCTTCAAGGGCGGCCGAGCGGAGGGAGCCACCCCCCAGCTCAGGCTACGGCTCCGCGCTGGCGGTCGTGAAGCACGGCTGGCCCTGGACCCTGGCGCTGCTGGCGGCGGCGCGGTCCGCGGGCTGCGCGTTTCTGGTCAGCCTCCGGGCGCGAAATGGGGGGCGTGTAGGAGGACCCTTTCAGTAGCATCCTCTCATGGGGGGAACTGCCCCAAAACCTGAAAGGACATGTTCTATTGGACGTGCTAAATTGGGGTGGGGGTGTGTCTGTGTGCGTGTTGCGGATGCATTTGCCTGTTGTGGCTTAAGCGATCCCATCCCGAAAGCTGTTGTTTAGTGTTCTGGAGTGTATGGGTTCCCCTTTTGAGATGCTCCGTATTTCCAATGAAATGCAGTGGTTAAGGCAGATTCCATTTCGAAAGTTGCCTCGGGAAAGAGCAGCGCATGCAATCTTGCGATTGAATCGCTGCAATGCGGCCAAGTTGCTTCAAAAGTGGATGGGTTTGCCAGAAACCATTGGTTCAAGTGCTTTTTAGTTCCTACTGCGCCCAGAGCCTTAACATCCAATCGGACATCTTCAGAAAAGAAAAAGAACAAAAAACACACTTGGATCGCCTATGTGCTGTACCTCGCCATCCCCAGTGGCCCGTCCCCTCCCCTCCCTGTGCTGGGGGAATGGGGCATGCAAAGGCGGATCGCATCCATCTGTCATCCAACGCCATCAAACCTAGCCGTGTTTGCCATGGGGCCTCTGCACATGGAGCCCGACACGGGAGGATCTCCAGGCGGCTTGGTTTGGATCCTCTAAGGCTTCAGCTCCGCAGTGAGCGGCTGCGAGCGACATGCGCAGTGGCAGCGGGCACTGCGCCTCCTGTGGTGCCCGGGACGGCGGGATCAACCTTTGATGTGGCAACGGTGCCCGGTGCTTTGTTGATACTGCCAAGGAAAGGTGCCATGGTTTGCCTTGGTTTGGGGTGGCTCTGGCTTTGGCTTCCCTTTTTGATTGGGGGGAGCACTTCCACTTCCAGTTGGGCTGCCGGAATGGAGGCTTTTGGCTTGGGTTCAGCCTAATCCCGATGTTCTCCTGGATTTTCCTTTGACGAGAAGGATGCCCTCAAAAGGACTGAGGCGTTGGTTGCAAACATTATGGGGTCCCCTTTTTGGGACATCACTGACGTCGCCGTTGAATTGCAGACATTCCATTTGACTACTTGCTAATTCAAAGGGAAGTGGCCATGACTCATATCTTGTTCGGTGGCATCTTGAGCAGCGGAAGGCTTTTTTTTGGCAGACGTGAACTTTGAAGGAGACATCAGGTGTCTTCATTTTTAATATTGTTATTTGTTTGGGGGGGGGGTGGGAAACCGAAGGATTGTCATGGCCCAGGTTCGTTTGATGCATGGGGCATGGCGCCTGCTCTCCCCCAGTGCTGCAGGTGCCTGG